GGAGGACTGAGGAGAAGGATGAGGAGGAAGACTGAGGAGGACTGAGGACTGAGGAGGAAGAGGAGGAGGATGAAGATGAGGAGGAGGACCCAGGAGGAGGACCCAGGAGGAGGACTCAGGAGGAGGAGGAGGACTGGGGAGGAGGAGGACTGTTGAGGACTGATGAGGACTGAGGACGAGGAGGAGGAGTAGGAGGAGGACTGAGGAGGGGAGGAGTAAGAGGACTGAGGAAGATCAGGAAGACCCAGGGGGAGGAGGAGGAAGAGTAGGAGGAGGAAGCATCTAAATGTTATTTCCATTTTTGTCCGTTTTTGTCCATTTTTGTCCGCTCTATTTTTTGTCCGTTTTGAAAATATAGGGTACCGAACGGACAAAAAACATGATCCCCCTATAACAGCAAAAATTGAACATTTTATTTAGCAATTTAGGTGTCCATTAATGTCCGCCTATGTCCGTCTATGTCCGCCTATGTCCGCCTATGTCCGTCTATGTCCGCCTATGTCCGCCTATGTCCTGTCCTTTTTGGATTCTATGAGACAAGCGGACATAGACGGACGTGACACCCCCCCCAATATAATATGAGCAGTTTAACTTCTACTCTTCCTAACACTCTGAACTATTATATGATACTACAAATAAATGGGTTGCTGGATTCCAGGGTAACTATATTACCATTACTTCCCTGTAGGTCGTACTTTAACACACCAAGTTCAATACTACTCGATTTCTCAAATCACTATTTCTCAGTACTTGTCGGCAGTTAACAATAAACACGTAACTGTTAAAACTGGGTTGTGATTTGGTTGAGAAATGACAATTTTAGTGGCCTTTTTTGCTTCTAACCATGTGAATTCAGACGAATCAGTATAATTACATTCCCCCAGTATAATTACAGTCCCCCAGTATAATTACTTGTTCTAGTTAAATCAGGCTGCTATCTGAAGCAGGTAGTGGTAATACAACTCTGCACAGCTTACATGTATTTAGGCAGATCATTATAATACCCTGTAACGCTTAATCCATGCATGACGCAGACTAAATAGTTGGCCACCCACTGAGATATCAATATCATTGAGATACCAATATCACTGAGATATCAATTTCAGACGAATACTCAAAATGCTTATAATAAGGGAATTTATCACTTGCAAAAGTCAGGATCTGCACAGATTCCAAATGGTTTCACGTGTAATGGTAAGAAGACAATTTCGCTTAATAATTGAAGCAGATTTTTAAATTATTGAGTACATGACAATTAACCAATAAGATCTTATATATGACTTGGGCTGTCCAGTCATATTTTTGTAGTCTATGGCAATTACCATAATCATAACTTCTGAATTCTGAATGATGTTCAAAAATATCGACACAACTTTGGACCAAAAAACAAGGATCGTCCAAAGTAAATCATAAGCACTAAGCAGCTTATTTCGTGCAAAGTATTTTGGGCTAGCAGTGTTTGTAATCCTAAAGATTAAAAAGTCACTTCTTCAATACTTCAGTCTGATTTTTGCTTAAACACTAACCTTATGTAATATTTTGATGCCCACCTTTTTAATAACGGCTAACTGGTCATCATACAGCTTCGTGATGTTATCAACCATGGGAAACAATTTGACTGCACTTAATTCCAACGACACTAAAAACCAATGCTAAACCAAAGGCGAATTAAGGATGTATGGATTACCATTTACCATGTGTCCTTTTATTAAGAAGCGATCTGGCGAACTTACCAAGAAAATAATCAATGCAGAGAACTCATAAAATCTATTGAAGATAAAATGAAATGAAAGATATACCAACTAACAGACTGACTAAGCAGTTTGCCGATTGCTAATACTCAAATACTGTTACAAAAGCATGGAATGCAATTTTAACCGGGCTGCTAGGCCCGCCACTTCAACTTCTTTATATAACGCGGAACTGGTAGTGGCAAAAAATGTCAAGGCAAAGCTAGACAGCTTATTTGAATCACTACCGTCGACTACTGCGTCAGCAAAATGGTGAAGTACGGGTACTGGGTACTGGGTGTTCAGCACCACCTCTACACACAAAGGTGGGCGAGTAAGGGAGATGTTGGAACGCTCTTAAAACATCTGAACTGGAAGATGTTGCGCCCTTATAACATCTGAACTGGAAGTCATTATTTTGGAATGACAGGGAACTGCTGGTGGCATCTTGAGAATTCATATTAGTCTAGCAATTATATTCCTTGACAGAATCTGTCAGATGGAAAAGGTAATATCTTAGTAATATCATTTCCCAACCCTCAAATCAATTACAAGATCGAATCTGTGATGATTGATAAATCTATGCTGGGAATGTTTTAATCGAGTGTCCGATTTAATAACTCTCTGACTCACTCTGTGATGTAAGAACTGGTAGTGGTGATATGCCCACTGACAGAAATGGAGAAATTTAGAAATAAGGTTCATAGCCAAATTCATTGAGAAATGTTTTTCATCAAAGTTGGAATTTTACCACGATTTAAAAGGCTGATTGATTTGGCTAAAAGAAGTTGGCTGGCACTGAATATCTAAAACTGAATATGGTTCTTTAGGCCTATTTCAATGGAACTAGACTGAAAATCGCTCATGTTTGGACCAAAGTCCTTGCCAGGGGTTTAGAAATTAGAGACAATCTCCCTTTACTGCAAATTTTTCGCAATAATTCAAAATTTAAAAATATACCCGAAAAATGCTTACTTTTTAGTTGATTGGTCAAGCACTGAGCCCAATTTAGCTAACATTTGATAAAAGCATGTTAGAAACTTCTCCGTAGATGCAAACATATACCTTCAAATTCTTATTTTTTGAGTTAAATCGAATCGCAAATGTGAGCGTATTTATGCGATGGTGGCTCTAAATAATCATTTTACCCTTGAACTGCTCTGAAGCCGACACTAAACAGATGGTTTAGCGAAGACTACTTCTATTAATTGCATACGCTAGTCACAACTATAAATAAAATGACACAATCTCTTAATATCTTAAACAGCATTGGCAAAGCCACCAGAACAACAAAGTAGAAGGTAATGTAGTACTCAGCTGCCAGCCAGGGATTTTTATTAGTAGTGTTGCTGGAGGTGTGGCGAATCTAGAGCCATGTGTTGCAACTCTAGTACTAAGTAACTAGGCCAGGGACATGTGCACTGTGCAGTATTAAGTCCTGTCACCTCAAAAAAGCGGGTAATTGAGGATCTGACGCCGCTTATAGAATATATCCTCCTAATATATCCATCAAAAACGGAGGAGTGCTTCACTGGAGGCTACTATTTAACGTCATGACTGTCAGGCTGAAATTAAATCGTCGGCACTGACGTCACTCTCTTAGAGGAAATAAACTTTACTTTCAGTTACATGAGAAGAGGTATTGGTCAAATTATTAAATACAACGGTCACCAGATATATTGAAAATATTGCTCTCTTCTTTTGTACCCGATTCATTGGGCCAATTTCCCGGTTTGCCTCTTTGTTTAAGGTCATGTCACATGGCTCAAAATTTACTTTCGTTAAGGGAATTTAAGTTTATTTATGTCTATAGTACCATCATAATAATAAAATGCATTTCGAAGTCAAATTTGAGCCTGATTCTCTAATACTTTAAGACTGAAATTGCCATGTTGCAAACGGGCTCTTTGTGAGCCTATCCTAAGGTTGGTAAAATTATAAAGATGTAACAAATTAAAATGTAAAGGCTAAGTTTACTTAGCACATCTTTTAATTTGTCATAACAGAATTGATTAAATAAACTCACCATAAATTAAATCAATGCTGAGTTCGTACAATTTCCAGATATCCTTGAGAACCATCGAAAAAACTACTGGCGATATATTTACATAAATAAACTACAATGTATATAATTCCATGAGAATAATTGATTTCAAAAATCGAAGACGTTCAAGCAATATGAAAATCATCTGCTAATTAGATAATAGATTCAATGTTCAGGAACATATTATACTGATATAGTTCGAAGATCATCTAAAAATACTGAATTGCCACTAGTTGAACGCTTATATATAGTGCCGCCGAATTGGTCCGGGACTGGTGGTGGTAGAGCGAGCATGCAAGCGAAGCCAGGGAGCGGGGACCAATAACAAACTAGAGAAACTAGAGAGACGGGGAAAATAAGACGTCAACTTGGCGCGGCGGAGAAATGAGGATTTATTAGCTCGTACCACTTCCAATTCCATATTGGTATGGCTCGTATTATCAAATTACAGCGGTAGTGGTACCATGTCAAATTATATCAATTCTTCTCTGCAGCATTTCTCTAACGTCATAAGTGGTAGACATCATCTCAGTTCATTTGCTTCCAGTTCAGGCTCGAATTTACCTACCGACGAGGGATAGTAAACTGCTTCTAATGTTCGGAATTAACCATGAATAAAACGTCGTTAAGCTGCTTAAATTGTTGTTTACTGAAGCATGGAGAGTAGAGAATGGTCCGTCTGGTTAAGGTCTAATTGATTGGTAGTCTGATGGTGAATAGTGTCAGTAATTTTACTCTTTTTCGTGTTAGAATTAAGGAAATTTCATTTTTCATAGAGCTAAAAATGTAAACGTGAGATTATTATAGCTTTATAAAATATAAATTACATATCAAAACTTCTAGAACTATGTGCTGTCAAATTTTATGACACAAGGCAAAAGATCGGTTAAGGTATGAACACTACAGACTTGTGTTTATAATGCAGAGTAAATGCTCGAGCTACGCCCTTGTAATTATAGTAAAATACTACCAGTAGTAAAATACTATTAGTTAAATATGTTATCACATTGGTAGGATGATGTACAGTAACGACCATAAAACAGCTGCTTCTTTAGAAAATCAGGGTCCATAAAAAGCAAAAGTCGAAACTTTACATTACGTCACAAAGGCTGCACTAAGTGAGTAAAGAGAAATTCGTAGAATGTAGATGGTATTACAACACAATTGATTATCTAATTAATCATTATACGTATATAATAATATTATATTAATGTTTAAACATTTACCCTGGGGTTGGTGTTGGGCGAGAAGACTCTCAATCTTAGCCCGAGCAAACTCTGCTGTGTCGTGAGGATCTTCTATAGTTTCTGAAATTAGAATAGAAGAGTGAGGAGTACGATTTCCGGTAAGGTTAACTATAAAAGGTTCAAATTGTATGTGGCGTGTTATGTCCGGATATGGGGTGTAATATCCGGATAGGGGGTGTAATATCCGGATAGGGGGTGTAATATCCGGATAGGGGGTGTTATATCCGGATAGGGGGTGTTATGTCCGGATAGGGGGTGTAATATCCGGATAGGGGTGTTATAACCGGATAGGGGGTGTAATATCCGGATAGGAGGTGTTATATCCGGATAGGGGGTGTAATATCCGGATAGGGGGTGTAATATCCGGATACGGGGTGTTATATCCGGATAGGGGGTGTTATATCCGGATAGGGGGTGTTATGTCCGAATAGGGGGTGTTATATCCGGATAGGGGGTGTTATATCCGGATAGGGGGTGTTATGTCCGGATAGGAGGTGTTATATCCGGATAGGGGGTGTAATATCCGGATAGGGGGTGTAATATCCGGATAGGGGGTGTTATATCCGGATAGGGGGTGTTATATCCGGATAGGGGGTGTTATGTCCGGATAGGGGGTGTTATGTCCGGATAGGGGGTGTTATATCCGGATAGGGGGTGTTATATCCGGATAGGGGGTGTTATGTCCGGATAGGGGGTGTTATGTCCGGATATGGGGTGTAATATCCGGATAGTGTGTGGTACAAGACGTGTAAAAAATTTCCGGGACATGATTTGCTGCATCTTCTGTAGCACCTTTAAAATGCTCCATACTATAATATATTAATATATTATATAATGGCGTGAATTTTATGAAAAGTATGTAATATGTAATATGTATCGATATAGGGCTATATAATTTGACTTTATCGTAGGAATAAGTTTGTGATTTAAGGAACTTTATTTATTGTAAAGTGAAGGAATAGAGTATTTACTTAGTAAGGTTTGGGGTGTCATCCCATTCCAGTTCCCACTATGGAATTACAGACAGTTGATGTAAATGGAAAAAGAATAATAAACGTAAATAAAAGCAAAAAGTGTATGCTGTGAAATCACACCCTGACTGTCTAAATTCCTGCTCGTCTTATCTAAACTTGTAAACGTTTTACATTCCCAAACCACATTAAACACGCACGTGAAACATGATATTATCAAACAGCCTGCAAGTAAGCAGTTGCTCCATGTTGTGTGTTAACTGTCTCACTGTAACCTAATGCCACGTACAGGTCACAAGCTGTATGTACCTTTCTCATGAGATTTAAATGTGAGGCCAGGTAGTTAGCTGTTTTGGCAGCTGTTAACTATATTTCTTTTTTGTTGAAAACTTTCAATTATTATCATCAATGTTATACAGGACACAATGTAATGAAACAAGGACTGAGATAACTTGAAAATGCTTTGTCACGTGACAGATGATGACAATCAGCATTCAGGGGACATCAATGCACCCACATAATTAGAGGACTAATGACTAATCGGGCAATAAAATTGAGCCCCAAGAAATACACTTAATTGGCTAGCCGGGCAATTGATTTGAGATCGCATTCCAGACGTAGTTATGTAAAGTATGCAGACATCTAGAACAAAGGTTTTAATTAATTATGTTTATAATAGAGTAGTAGGGACCTTTATAAAGAATGTCGTTAAATATCCTCAAAAGTATCTTGATCTATAGCCACCATTTACCAAGTTACCAAGTTACCAAGTTACCAAGTTACTAAATCACCAAGTTACCAGGTGAACAAACCTTGTCTCGTTCCATTGCGCGAGGGAGAAGACTTCCTTTTGAAGAAGATGATGAAGATAAAGGAGAAGCAACTGAAGCATGTTTCACACACACACAACACAATACTCCCAATACTTCTCATGCAACCTTCAGCAAGCAGTGCTCATAACATGGTTAATTTATACTCTTCATCTGGGGTTTAACTCACTGCCTATCAATATGTGGGTATCAGGCAATAGAAAGCAATACAAAGCGAATAAGGAGATGTAACGAGAATAGAGTCTCCTCCAAACAAAACAGTTGAACAAATGTAACAGGATTGTGTTACTGATGTTGTACTATAAGTTACACAGATGTGTGGTGTATTAACCATCATATCAGACATTATAATAGATTAATGTTCAAACCAAGCCCACAGATGGAGTTAACAAGGCAACTACATTGTCCAATAACAACTCGGTAATAGCATCACGTGACCGTAATTGTGAAGAGCAGATGTTCACATATTACATATATATTACGGTCAGAAAGTGACTGAGCACCGCCCTTCTATTGTACATTCTGTTGTTAAAGAGGACTGTCAGTAGCTCGGTAATTATCTTCTGTTCAATGGAGTAAGAAATATAAATATAAGATATGTTATCATAACAAGTGTAAATTTCAAAAACTTTTGAAGGACAAATTAAGAAAATTAAGAATTAAACGCATGATTGGACGAGTTGCAGTTTAACAACAAACAGTTCAAAAAGATAAAGAATAATTGTTAAGGTCGACAAGACAATATCATGTGTAGTTTGGTAATTATGTAGGCGACATGACCATTATATCATATGGGTAGTTGTTTGTGCAGACTAAATAAAGGGGTCTCACGAAGTGTTAAAATATGATAATATTAACACTATATTATTATAACGTAACAGTGTACAACTGAAAGGTAAAATATTATTACCTCCCCAGACCCCACTAATTAGCGTGGACATTAGACAATAACCCGACACAAAATACAAAGGATCTGGCCCATGTCCTTGTTATATGAGGGACCCTATGTGAGCTCGAGTTAACCCCGAATCCTTGGATCGAGTAGAAGTAGGGTCAAGAGGGTGAACATAACTATTGAAGTGTAATAGCTCCAATTACACAATCAGTCAGATAATTGATTGTTTTTGTTCTCTAAAACTTACCCAGAACGGGAATCAGGTTTCTTGTTAACCATATCCAGTCTTTGTGTATTTCTTCTCGGTTTCTTCCACATGATATCTCTGAGGAATGTTTTTGTTTTAAATCGGATTTAAGCTGATGATTAAGATATTCTTTAAAAAATCCAGTTTTGCAGCTAGGACCGCTGAAAGTTTCTATGATTGTTATATCAGCTTCAAAGTTAATTAGGATACGAATTTGCACGTTTCCGAAAAAAAAGTTAAATCAACACACAAAAATATAGCTTTGTTAGTTAATTTAGCAAATAATATTATTACTTACGATAACTGCCTTCGTCTGACACAGATACTTGCAGGAGGATACGAAACAGAAAAGGCTGAAATTAAACTGGTTCAAATAAGGGTTAGGGACGTTACTACTACTAGCAGGAACCCGTCTTACTATAAAGTGGTGTCAAGACTCAAGAGACTAAAATAATTATTACCTATTTAATTCGCGTTTTTGACACCACTTGGGGGTCCAAATTTTGGGCACTAAAATTCTTATTCCTTGGCCAATTTTTTATTTTTTCATACTGATTTGAAGGCCATTAAAGCATTTGACCCAGTCAAAAAAGTTTCAGTTGTATATCTTTTACGGTTTTTGAGGAAAGTCCCGTTAAAGTTGATGCCATGGTGTCAGTAAAATGGCACGGAACCATATATATCGTCTCGCTTTATATATAGTAAGATATTACCTCAATAGTAGGTCATATCAATGTATCAATATCATGAATAAAAATTAGGTGTTAAAAATAATATATTAAAAATTGTGAATTTCTTAGAATCATTGGGACATCAAATTCACAACAAATTCACTATTACCAAGTTACATTTTCAGATTGATGTAATTTACCTTGCTGTCCAGAACATTGTCAAGTGTTCCTAAAACTTTTGAGGTGATGCCTCCAGTTTCACTTTTTCTTATTTGCAGTATAAAGTACGGGTTTATTTGTTCTGTTGACCTGAAAACATATAAATGTTATCGTATATTCAATATTGGTATGTAATGTGAAATTGAATATTCAATATTGGTATGTACTGTGAAATTGAAACAGAATTATAGCAATGATTGCCAATGATGACAAATGTGAGATATTATCATAGTTTTAAAGAAGAATTGCATACCATAGTGCATTTGACAGGCCCACTAATTGAGGCTTCAACCACATTTCATTCCATCTTTTCAAAATAGTGACCTTTTTCGTGTCATAGTTTTCTGTTTCTCTTAAAAGCCTACATAAGGATGTTATATATTATAGGAAACAGCATATAGAAATCAAAAAAAATTTAAAAGGTTACCTCCTAAGGTTAAAACGTTAAGAAGTTCAGAAGAGCAATTGTTGAGTATGATGATGATGAAAATCTTTTAAAAATAACTGGCTACAATGCACATTTTAATAACAATAAACAGTAGATCAAAAACTTGTATTTCCAACAGACAAATTTTTTTGAAACACACCTAACAAATTCTACCCTGCTAACAAGCTATTAAAAGCATTAAAAATGTTAATGTAACAAGTCTCTTGACGTTTCAAAATGAAACTTAGGTTGAAGATGCAGTTACAAAAGGCCACTGGTTCTGAATGGTTACTGAAACAAACTTTTTCCAAAATAAAAGTTTTAAAGCAGTCCATATCACGGGTCTGTATTGCCCGATTTAAGTTATACAAAAGCCAGCGGATGGCTAGCGGGAGCCTAACGGAGATGCACTAAAATGCAGCATTTATACCTAGCGGATGGCTAGCGGAGTATAGCGAACACCGCGCGCAAACTAGTGGAGAATATTACTAGCTTCATTAACACATAATCCGCTAGTTTCCGATAGCTATCCGATATTGCCGCTAAGTTCCCTAGTTTTTCTGTAACTTAAATCTGCAAACTCGGCTATATACGGACCCGTGATATATGCTTTTCTGTGAACTAAACAGCTCAAATAAAAAAACTCATTCCCTTGTTAAATTACAACAATATTTAATTTAAAGGTGTTTGTTTTCAAAAAAACATAGTCCAATAACACGTTACTACACTTCAATGTACTTGGTATTTCATCCTTTATCATAGTAGTAGCAAAGTTAGCAAAATTAAATGCTATATTAAATCCTTATCTTTTCGAAAGATTAATCTTACGCTTAAGATTTAGCCCCTTACTTTCTACAATTTCAACACACAAACTTATAAACATATCGTCCCTTTAACAGTTCAGTATGATGGAGCCCTGCTCAGCTGCTAAGTCGACAATGGACCTTCCACTATTACACAGAGTGACGATGCATTCAGTTTGACACTGTAGATTCCTATTATATACTAGCTCACAGCTTGAAAGTAGGTACAGACCTGTTTGCTCATCACTAAAGTCATGGTTTTAGTGTCTAAATACAGTATCAATCATGTAAATCTACTGTAAATCTGCTGCTACCATTAAAACATCGATACTACTGTATTTAGTGGTTTAAAAATTGCTTCAAGTTAGTAGTGTAATGAATAATTATGGGAGCTGAACATCCGGAGTACACTTTGATGAAAGAAAAATTATATCAGATATCAGATATCAGCTTTCCGCGACCCAAATTTCACTGGTTTAACTGAATTTTTTGAATGACCATCTAACAAGGTCACTATTGATCAGTGGCGTAATGTTGTATGTTGGTGCCCCCTCTTTTCTCTAGAATTGGACAAATTAGGTGACTTTAGAGGATACAGTGGTGAAATCTCTAAGTGTGTCTGCCTTTTCTTTAACCGAAATTTAACCCTTTTGACCAACGTGTTACCACTGACCAATCAGTAAGGTCAGTGTTGTTATTGAAAGGTAGTACAGAATCATATCAAGTCATACAGGTACTAGGTCATATACAGCAAAGCCCTGGGATAAGATTGTTAGTCATAAAGGCAACTTACCAATCTTACCCCTTTTCAAACTACAAACAGAGTTGGCTAACACACTTAAAAACCAACAAGTATTATTGTGAAAATATGACAGTATTTGCGTTAGCGCTCGATTTTCATACTACGGTGTAACTTCATGTAGAAAATATGCGCGGCGCGCCCAAAATTTTGTTTTCATTAAAACATGTTGACTCATATCTTGTAGGTTTACAACCTACCAGGACGCGCGCCGAGTTGGACTCGTCGACGGTCCAATATATGGAACAGATATTTTACGAGTATCACCCGTTAACTCATATCTCACACATTTAAATTATTTCACATATTTTAATTAGTACTTATGACAAAACAAACAAAACTTTTTCACGATATAGACTTAAAGTACCAAAAATGAAGTACGCGCAAAATACCTAAATTTTGATTACATTTTTTAGATTTTTAATTTAAAGAATTTTGAAATTTTTTTTTTTTTTTTAATTCAGAATAAAACAAATATTCAGAATAAAACAAATATTATATTCAAATCTCTTTATTCAACAATATTAAATCATTATAAAACCTAATTTGTGGCTTGATCGTTATGTTAGGGCTATTCTGTTAGCTGATGCTGACAGGCACTGCATGGGGCAGAGACTTAGGACCATTACGCTGGAGGCTTACAATGACCCTTTTTGAACCCCATGGCAGTGCTAGTTTTATTATGGTACAAATTGTAAATCGAAGTTATGAAAACGATCAAGTCACTCCTGTTTTACACTATCAACAGCTACTTAAAACAACCTAGATTGTACAACTCACTTTGAAGATTAAACTGTTAAGTGATGAGTGATTGGGCTCATTAAACATTTTAGTAGCGGAGACATGCGGATCAGCTTCTTGAGGTTCTAATAGTTCATTCAGACAAGAAGTTTTATTTTTTCAAATTTAGTCGTTCAAGCTGCCTGAGTTCAGAAAGTTTGCCAAAGGGGCCCAGGTATTCTTGTCACCTTTACCCTGAGACGAGAGAATGACTTTTTTTACCTTTGATTTGAATACACCATGAGTGATTTCAAGGTCGTTCAGTGCCAACATCTGACGGAATGAATTCCAAAGGCAACTAGATTTGTAAACGAAACTGTTTGAGGGCATGGTTGTTATAAGAAGAGTTTCTTTGCCGGGTCTTTTAGACAAACAGAAAAGTTCAAATAGTGCAATTGGTGTTCGATATTTAAAGACTTTAAAAAGTTCATTGCAGCAGTGATACGCGTATAAATTATGCAATGTCATGAGTGATTGACGGGCAAAAATTGGCTTGGTGTGCTCTCTCTCAAAGAATTTGCTAGTAAGTTTCTGTTCACTGATAGGTCTAGTCCTAGCACATGTCATAAATTTATCAAGGTATGCTTTTTTGTCACCAAACATGATACGAACACACTTTTTCTGGGCTACAAATAGTGGTTGAAGTTTATTATTACTTGCACCTCCCCAAACGGTAATGCCATAAGATAGGTGACTTTCAAAAAGTGTGTGGTACAGGTCCTTATGGATAGATGATGGAATTTTATCCTTAATCATGTATAGCCTCCCAGAACAGGACGAGAGTTTTCTAACTAGTTTGTCTCTATAGGGATTGAAAGTTAGGCCTTCGTCGACAATTACTCCCAGGAATTTCGTTTCCTGCACCTTTGAGAGAGGTAGGCCGTTGAGGTAAAGTCTATTTTCAATTAATAAAGATTGATCATCAAGTTTTCTTTTAGCTGTATTGAATTCTATGTAGCAACTTTTCTTGGCGTTAACATGTAATTTATTAGCCAATGTGTACTCGTGGACTGATCGTAGGACCCTATTTGCATTATTGTAGGCCTCTGCTCTAGTTTTGGCAACTACAAATATGTTTGTATCATCAGCAAATAGGACATAGCTAGTGTTATCGAGTTGAGAGTTTGTTAAGTCATTTATGTATATTAAAAACAGGAGAGGCCCAAGGCAGCTCCCCTGTGGAACGCCATAGAGAACAGGAAGTCTGTCTGATACTTCGCCCAGGACGGACACACACTGATCTCTGTCCGACAAGTAACTTTCCAGTAACTTAAGTGGCACTCCTCTAATCCCATATATTTCAAGTTTCTCAAGCAAAATTGTGTGGTCTATTGTGTCAAAGGCCTTGCTTAGATCAATAAAAATTCCTAGAACATGAAGACCTTGCTTTAGGGCCTTTTGGATGTGAAAAACTGAGTAGTTAAGTGCATGTGATGTTGAGTGACTCTTTCGGAATCCGAATTGACTGTCGTGAAGGATTCCTTGACTAACCAAGAAGCTGTAAAGACGTTTGTATATTATCTTTTCAAAAATTTTACCAAAAATTGGAAGTGTGGAAACAGGCCTGTAGTTCTCAATCAGTTCTTCGTTATCTTTTTTGTATATTGGGGTTATTTTGCCAAGCTTCAGAACTGACGGAAATATCCCTTGAGATATTAGGCGATTAAATTGAACAACAAGAGTTGGGCTAAGAATACCCGATAGTTTTTTGATTACTCTTATGGGAAAGTCGCTAGCTTTCCCACTCTTCAAGTTGGCTATAATCTCAGAAATTTCATCTTCACTACAGTCATGGAAGTAAATTGAATCGAGAGTTTTTGGTGGCATGAATTCGAGGAAAGAGGGAAGAGGTTCTAAAAGAAGGCCATTATGAGTGTTTTCATTCATTTTTGAGGCAATAGAGGCAAAGTACTCATTAAATTTGTTGGCTATCACCCGTCTTTCAACAACACGGACTCCATCTACCATAAATTGGGGTTTGATGGTTTTTTTCCTTTTCCCTCTTATCTCATTTATTACTTCCCACATCTTTTTAGAACTATCAGAATTTTCAAGAATTTTGTTACAGTTATAGGTATCTTTTTGGTTTTTTATTATCTTTTTAAGACAGCGTCTGTAATCACGAAAAATTTTGTGGAGTTTCAGATCTCCAACTGGCTTGAAGTCAGGGAGCGTTTTTGAGTTCACCCAGTTATCATACAGCTGACCTTTCTTTTCAATTGCTTCAATTATGCTGTCGGATATCCAGGGATTACTTATAGGATTTCGTTTGGTGAGTTTGGGTTTGTCGAGTTTACAACATGAGTCAATAGCTGAGCTAAAAATTTCAAAAAATTCGTCAAATTCAATTGGATTTTCATTGTTTGTTAGTATGCATTTCTTAGATAGCAAGTGTTTTGTTAGTAGTTCAACATTTCGGTTTGAGAAATCATAGCTTTGCAATTGCTTAGGCTTAGGGGAAGTTTTCCTAGAAGTTAAATGACTGATGTCAAAGAAAGCAAAGATTGGTTTATGATGGGAAGAAGTGTCTTCAATAACTCCAGAGAGGGTTACCAAGTCAATCTCATCA